CCTGACACCTTAATCTTCTTTTCTTTCTATTACTTCAAACTTTATGTATCCATGAGTTTTTCTAGATTTTGTTCCCATGTTGAAAATATGGAGAATCAAGATATACTGATATATGCTCATCTTTTTAAATCAACAAGGTGAACTTCATTTCAATGGAAAAGATACGCTATAATAGTTAGTTTTAATCTATTATAATCAATTCATTATCTTATTTGAATAAGCAAAATACACAGAAGAAAGACATAATGATTTATGAATATAAATCCTTGTAGTAAAAATCTTATACAAACCCATATCTTTTTAATGGTAATCTTTCATTCCTTCATAAATTAAAAAATAGTTCATAATGTTCTTTTTTTCTTTTTTTTTATAAATTCCTTTACACTTGAACTAACACTTGCTCTATATAATTAATTTTGTTCCAGCAAAGAATTTTACTAACATGAATAGTTTCTCCATAAGTGAATATGAGATCAGCTTCCCATAGCAGCATTTCCTCAAATCTATCTTTAAAATGCTCTTGCCCTATGTTTTCTAAATCACAGACATCAGAGCTTAAAAAATCATGGAAACCTAAAACATAACTTAATAGAAGTTTTCCTCTCAGTATCAGTGGACAACACTATCCCTCAAATAAATAGATAAATGTTGGAAAAAAGTTATATCATATTGCAGTATAGTTACACAGAGTATGTTATTTTTGTAACATAGTGTGGCATTTTTATTAAAAATCTCCATTTTCAAGAAAAAGCTTCCAAAAAAAGTACCCACTATATGATCTTTAATTTGAGAAGTCATCTAACTATATTACCTGTAGATTACAAGTCTAGTCAATGAGCAGTTTGTATTTTCATCACCAAAACAACAATCACTATGCATCCATGCAGTATTTTTTTGTTGTCTATATGGTATCAAAAATGCACTTCATAATATATGGAGTGGAAAGTAGAACTGATGAACACAGTGAGCATCTACTATAACAAGTTCTACATTGTTTCAACAGTCTAAATGACTGACTCATGCAATGCTTCTTTAATCTGTATTGGTTTGGGATTAGATAAAATTCCAGATTTTCTCTAAAAAAAGGAAAAGTAAATTCATTATCTGGGTATTCAAAACCAACCTAATTCCTCCCAAGTAATTATATAACATATATATAGAACCAAAGAATAAGAAAAACAATGCATGTTAAACCTTAACTATTTTCACACCCAAACCTTCATGCATGAACAGGAAGAGTATCAGATCTGCAATGCCCAACACACTACAAGACAACTTAGAGAATGTGACATGATACAGACACCTGAGGGTACAGCTACAGGAATGAAGGATAGAGTCTGAAATGTGTTGTAAGGACACACCTAACATCATGCCTATAAACTATCAATCTAGAGAAAAGATTCCAATCATTAGACCATAAAAAGAAAATAAAGAAAAAATAAATGAAACTAACTGAGGGAGATGAATTATAACTGGAACAGGATGTTCAATCTTACTGGCTTATAAACTAAGTTATATTCCTTCAAAAGGGCAGATGTAATCATCATTAATAACCATGATAAAAGCTTGCAGTTAATGATCTAAACATACTGATCATAAAGCAGGAGACCCTTAGAATTTCCCTCATCTTCTCAGACACCATCCCTGGTAGAAGGAAGAGATGTATTTGTGACTCCTGTGGTCAGGGCATTGAGAAAACGAAGTGCCCTGCCCGGTGCCCAATGAGAGCTCCCTTATAACCAGCACAAAGTTGGTTTGTCTATGGCTGTCTATGGGAATGTCACCCTCAAAGATGCCATTGAATCTTGTTAGAGAGCAAAACATCCCCAAAAAAAGCACAGCTTTTTTTATACCTTCAAAGACTTGTTTCATAAAGAAAACTTTGATATATATATATATATATATATTATATATATATATATATATATATATATATATATATATATAAGACAAACGATAAAAAGGGAGAGAATGGCATATCTGCAATAATTAAATAAGGTTAACAGAGGCACCTTATCAATAATCATAAGTAACATATAACAAATATAAACATTAGAGTAATGAGTAGCTTTGGCATACAAGGCAAATTATTGTTTCCCTGAATCTTGTGACTGAGTAATTTAAAAAGATATTGAGAGTTCAACAGGTTAAAAACTAATGTGGGAATGAAATACCAACTTGCTTACATATGAAAAAAGGAGAAAAATATCAGACAAAGCTAAGAAGACGAATGGGGGATCATAGAAAAAGAGAATAAAAGTACAATACTGGATACTGGAGAAACATTGCTTCATTATCCAACAAATGACAAGTTTGAAAATGAATGAATTAATAAAAACTAATAATAATAATAATAATAATAACTAGGGATTCTCAAAGTCACTTTAAACTAACACTCAGTGAACAAATTTCTAAAAGGAAAGATTTTTTTTTAAGTTAAGGTGGGGTTAGATATCTTAACTTAAGGTGTCAATTACTCTTTGACAGACAGACCTCTGAAGTACTAAAACATTAACACAAAAAAGGTAAAACTTTGGCATTATGGTGGGAATATAATACAGAACATTGGGCAAGATCCACATTGCACTGTAAATGGCTGAATTAACCTGTACTATTTAAGAACTATTTTAAGAACTTGTTTGACAAGAGAAACAAAATGGCATCTAACACTGCCTAGCTGGCAAAATCTACATGGCACAAAAGAAACTACCAACCTAATCAGAGAAAAAAATGATACAATTGTTGGCACAACTGAACAAAATGGAGAGCATGAGAAAAATAATAATAACAATATGTACAAGCATTTTCAAGAAACCATGTTCAAACACACTTTTTCTTGATCAGGATTTCACTTTAATATCACTCACTTGCCTTTTTATCAAAGCATACCCTCCCAGGGAGTTTAGGTGGAAGGGCGTATCATCTTTTGTTATCAAAACACCCCATCCCACTCTATCACGGGAGTGATTCTCAGACTGGCAACTTGAGTCTGGTATTTTGCATCTACTACATATCAGCATTCCCATGTATCTTTTCTCTTAGGAATAATTGAAGAACGTTCACTTCTGGTTGGTCACAGAGACCTAATATCACCTGTGCTAATGATATGTTCTGTATTTGCACAGTCTGTTTGCATTGTTGAGCTAGGATGTTGACATTATTGAGTTGTATCATTTCAGGAATGTCATAAACATTAATAATAAACAAAAACATACAATAATTATGAGAACACATAATTCTGTATGAATATGTGTGTGTGTGTGTGTGTGTGTGTGTGTGTGTGTGTGTGTGTGTGTGTGTGTGTGTGTGTGTGTGTGTGTGTGTGTTGTGTGTGTGTGTGTGTGTGTTGTGTGGTGTGCGTGCGTGTGCGTTGGTTGCGTGTGTGTGTGTGTTGCGTGCGTGTGTGTGTGTGTGTGTGTGTGTGTGTGTGTGTGTGTGTGTGCGTGTGTGTGTGTGCGTGTGCGTGCGTGCGTGTGTTGTGAGCGTGTGTGTGCGTGTGTGTGCGTGTGTATGTGTATGTATGTGTATATGTGTATATATATATATATATATATTATATATATATATATATATATATATATATATATATATATATATATATATAAATAATTAAATAATAATTACTATATATGACCACATTGCCAATTTGTGTTCACACAATACTACTATATTTGACAATATTCTAATGAAAAATAATTTCTTATTCCTTTAATAATAATGAAAACAATAATAATAATAGAATGAAAAAAATGAATAAAATATCCTGTTCTGCACTCAATAATATCACCTTGTTTCCCATACAGGCTTAGAGCAAAACAAAATAACCACAGCTCGTTCATCCTCATTCACCATCAGTCACACCCACTGCCCTCCAAAAAGAGTTACAAGGTATTGGTTATCTGTTGCGTCGCTTCCAGAATGCAGATATTGTACAGCTTTCCCCGCAATCTTTCATCTGTCAGCATCCAACCAATACTTGAGGCAGACATATACCACTCTACTTGTCTCACCAATACAACCCCATTCATGTCAACAACTGGGTCTTGCTTTCAATGCTTACAGATACTCTTTAATCTTGTTTTGGTTTCATTTTTATCTTTTTTCAACCTATTCCTCCTCTCACACACCATATGAAATCTAAATGTACCTTGTTCCTCTTTCACTCTGACATTCAACACACTATGTGGCATTTTGACCACTCTCATTACCTTCTTACATATAGTTTTCCTTCACTTCCACTCAAAACATAGTATGCACACACACAAAAAAAGAAATAATGATAATAAAAAAATGTATAATAATAATAGCAATAATAATAAAAATAGTAACAATAATGATAATAATAACTTCATTGTTTAACATTTATTCTAGTTATTAATACCCTACAGTGCTGTGTTATCTTATGGATCTTTAAAAGAAGTTAATTCTACACATGTAAGGATACTAACTTTCCCCGAGTCTATATGAGAGGCTGCATACCCTTCCCTTAATTCCTCACCTCAAAGAAAGGCACATACCAAAACATGAGCAGAGAGCGAGAAATGGGAATGGATTTATTCCTGGCTTTTGTTTATTCCCCACTGACTAAAGGTATTCAGGAGTGCTCTCTTACTGAGGGAAATCTCTCTGTCCAATCACTTGAGCTACAAAAATCTACAAAGTGCAAAAGGAAGTTGAAGAAGAAGAAAATAATTTAAAAGGGGAGAGCAGGGGAAGAGAATTAGTTCTCTGAGCAACAATACAGCAAAAAAATAGAAGTTACATCAATAACTGTCACAGCAAGAAATTAAAAAGAAAAACCATTGGTCGTGGATGGCATAATCTGATGCAAAGTGCCATAGAAGGCCAATCCCACGGAGCAGTGGGTGACCATGCAGCCGGGGAGCTGCATGGGCAAAGGGATGTCTGCCACCAAGTGGGTGACCCCCTTGAAGCCTTCTAGGGCCCAGGCACCCAGTCCTGCCCCCCAGGCCTAGGTGAGCCAAGGGATGCTACCGCGA